CCAACGATCGAAGAAGTCAAGATGGCCATCAGACAAATCAAAAGTGGGAAGGCGGCAGGACCTGACAATATACCAGCAGAAGCACTGAACTCAGACATTGAAGTAACTGCAAATATGCTTCACCTTCTTTTCAAAAAGATTTGGGAAGAGGAACAAGTGCCAATGGACTGGAAAGAAGGATATCTCATCAAGATACCAAAGAAAGGAGATCTGAGCCAATGTGAGAAATACAGAGGCATCAGTTTGTTATCAGTATCAGGAAAAGTTTTCAACAGAGTGCTGCTGAATCGGATGAAAGACGCAGTAGACGCCGAACTTAGGGATCATCAGGCTGGATTCCGTAAGGATCGGTCGTGCACAGACCAGATTGCGACACTACCGATCATCGTTGAACAATCAGTTTAGTGGAATTCGTCACTATTCACCAACTTCATTGACTATGAGAAGGCGTTCGACATTGTGGACAGAACATTATGGAAACTTCTTCGACACTACGGGGTACCTGAAAAGATTATCAACATTATGCAGAACTCATACGATGGACTACAGTGCAAAGTCATGCATGGAGGACAGTTGACAGATGCATTTCCAGTAAGGACCGGAGTCAGACAAGGCTGTCTACTCTCCCCATTTCTCTTCCTTCTAGTGATTGACTGGATTATGAAGAATTCGACATCTGAAGGGAAATACGCAATACAATGGATTTCTCAGAATCAATTAGATGATTTGGACTTCGCTGATGACCTGGCCCTCCTCTCTCATACACACGAACAAATGCAGATGAGGACAGCAAATGTAGCAGCAGCCTCTGCATCGATAGGCCTCCACATTCACAAAGGAAAAAGCAAAATTCTCAAATGCAACGGGGAGAACACCAACCTAATCACACTTGATGGCGAAACTCTGGAAGAGGTGGAAACATTCAAGTACCTGGGGAGCATCGTTGATAAACAAGGAGGATCGGATGCAGTTGTAAAGGCGAGGAATAGCAAAGCAAGGACAGCATTTCTACAATTGAAGAACATATGGAACTCAAAACAACTCTCAACCAATTTCAAGGTGAGAATCTTTAATACGAACGTCAAGACAGTCCTACTGTACGGAGCTGAAACGTGGAGAACTACTACGACCATCATCAGGAAGGTACAAGTATTTATAAACAGTTGTCTACGCAAAATACTCAACATCCATTGGCCGGATACTATCAGCAACAGCGTTTTATGGGAGAGGAAAAGACGTTGGAAATGGATCGGACATACATTGAGGGAATCACCAACGTGCATCACGACTCAATCCCTAACTTTGAATGGTGAAGGGAAGCGGAAAAGAGGAAGGCCAAAGAACACACTACTCCGGGAAATAGAAGCCGATATGAAAAGGATGAATAGCAACTGGAAAGAACTGGAAAGGAAAGCTCAGGACAGAGTTGGATGGAGAATGCTGGTGAGCGGCCTATGCTCGTCGACGAGGGGTAACAGGCGCAAGTAAGTAAGTATTGTGTGCGAAGTATATGACGTTCAATTTCTATTCAATATGACTCCTATATCCTAATGTGGTCAACGATATTGATGTTCAGTTTTGCCTGTATTTAATAAAGACTTAGTAAAGATAACCAATCTGTTGTTCAGTGCAAACTTCAGATTGCTTTCATAAAATATGATAACAATACATAAAATACATAATTTGCAAATTTTCCTTCAGTTGTCCTTTAAATGCTTCAAGACTTTTTCAATTCTGTTGTCATTACAATTACTCTCCGTTCACATTCCTGTTCTCTTCAATTCGATCTTCTCAATCTTCTTCTGACAGACATTCCACTTTTAGTTAGTATTATATACTATTTATACCTGTCAACATAAGTAGCATACAGCACATATCTAATTTTAATTTTGTCATGAAATACCTGAATTGACCAGCTTAGCGAGTTTAATATTCAAAAAATAGTTATTCAAGTTAACATATTCAATCAACAGACAGATCAATGCTCATGAGATGATGTCGAGATTTGATGAACCATGAAAATCTATTATTATTATTATTAATGGCTTTATTCAATGTTACTAATGCGTGAACTATAATCTGATTATTATTAAGTAGCATATTCACTGGGGCTTAATGAGTATTTACTTAGGTATCAGTTCAGTAGACCTCAGCCATATATATACTTACCATAAAATGATTCAATATTAATGATAACTGAAACTTAATCTTCTTAAACTGATTGTCTATATTAATGGACATTTTAAGGTCAAATAATATTTGAATCTGATTAAGTATCAACAGGGTTCACATGTAGTGATTATGTTTGTTTTATGTAATTTAGAATTGATATGATCGCACAAACTAAGATAAGTCTTAACTGACAGACTGTCTGAATTCGCTACATCCATGCGTACTTGCTCATTCAACTGCTCTTGTGGAGCATGTTATATAGGGCGTAAAATTCGGCAAGTCCGTCATCGCATAGCAGAACACTAACCGTCTTAATTGAGCAAATGATAGGTAAGAGTTATCAAGAGTTCTATTCTCGCTCACTTGGTGAACACAGGTTACCAAGTTAACTTGAATAAATCTTTTGAGGTTATCCGTCATATTCCATCAAATTCACCACATAGTTAACGAGTTCTTTCGTACATTTTTGAAGCTAACGAAATCCATTTTCACAATCCTGACCTGTGCATACAAAAGAAGTTTGTACAACCACTCTTGTTAACTTGGGCCATCGGTATAGCATTGTGTATTTAGTTGAACCTTGACTAAACCCTTCAAAAATATTTAAACGATTTTCTAACATTCGTCACTTGATTCTTACACAACTACTATAATAATAACCTTTCATCCAAATATTTTATTAGTTCCTTCTTCGCACATATTATGCAACCTAGCAACTGTTTGATCACCTTGATTATTATAATCCTCTTTCTTCCAGTTACTCAGCATTATTTTATAATCGATGTCATCATATAATTATTACGTAACGTAACTACTCGATAAGTATTATTTCATTGTTGTAGAACCATGATGAAAAACTAATTGAAAAGAAGGGGTTTTGTGGAGATTTAGTGTTTTCATAGTTGAGAGCGTGAGTCAATTGAAGCTAGACCACCATGGAAAACCTGGAAGCACTGGATGGCCGTTTCGTCCTATTATGGGACGAAACGAACGTTTAGACATCAATACCTAGAGCAGATACCTGTAAGGGAGCTATATACACCTGTTCAAGTAAACATCGTATCAATGGTAAGTTGATTTTTTTTCAGGCTTTAGAAAAAACTAACCTCATTATAAACGTTTCTTAGGGTAAAACTGGGTGACGGTTCGACTCCCATGGGGGAGTACTAGTTCCCACAAGTTTGCAGATCCCCCACCTAATGATGAGTACCAACTAGCAGGAAATAAATACGTAGGGCTTCCATCTTACTTTCTCCACACATCTAATATCCAGATATAGTGTATGCAATTTCGGACCGCTCAGACCAGTAACTATTATAACTGGAACAAAATACTTCTACAGTTTAACTGAATAAGACTGATTGATACTGATCGATATAAGTGTCGTTAAGACTACGGATGAATATCTTATTACATGCAAGCTGATCAGCAACCATGAGAGGAATATAATGAGTTATATCAGATTTATTTAATTGGTCAATAGTCGAATTTACTGCATTGAACTGGTTGAGATTCGGGATAAATTAATCAATAATTCACTGTATGCACACAATCTACCATATTAACAGACTAACTCTTCTCAGATACATGTATAACTAAATCACTGATTTACGTATTTACTCCTTCATAAAAGTGACTACATTAGGATTGATCGAAAAGATTGAATCGACAGTGAGTTCTAAACCAACACCACATTGGTTGCTTATGAGTGATACATCAATATAAATAATTCTGCATTTTTATCCTGATATATATAGATATATGTAAGTGAAGACAGTTCTGTTGTATGGAATTGAAACTCCGAGAACTACTACAATCATCGTCAAAAAAGTAAAAGCATTTATATACAACTATCTACTCAAGATACTCCAGATCCATTAACCAGGCATCATCAACAATAATCTGCAACAGAGAACAAAGCAGATTCCAGTTAAATAAGAAATTAAGAAAAGACGGTGGACACATATTGCAGAAATCACCAAATTGGATCATAATGCAAGCCCTAATCTGAAGTCCTCATGGTAAAAGGGAAAGAGATAGCCCACAAAAAACACTGCACAGGAAACTGTAGACAGATATCAAAAGAATCAACAGAACTTGACAATAACTGGAAACAAGAGCCTAAGATGATGAGTTGGACGTTACTAGTTGACAGCCTATGTCCCACGACATAAGTAAGTCATATCCAACTAAATATATTCATACATATTTGTAAATTTTCTCCGTTCAATCCCAAAAATATTTAGTTATCTTCACAATAAAATTATATCATAACCCATTAATAAAAGCTAGACCACCATGGAAAACTTGGAAGCACTGGACGGCCGTTTCGCCCTATTATGGGACTCCTCCTTGGCAGTGCACATCCACGATCCCGCCTCGCGAGCGAGATTCGAACTCAGGACCTACCACTCTCGAGCCAGAGCACCGTTGGATGCCGGCTTAGTGGTCTATCGGTTAAGTGCTGAAGAGTCCCATAATAGGACGAGTTGGCCGTCAAACAGTGCTTCCAGGTTTTCCATAGTGGTCTAGCTTCAATTGACTCATGATTTCAACTATTAAAAATACTGAAATCTTCACAAAATTCCTTCTGACCATTAATAAAATTTATATTTTAATTCAAAATCAAAATTTTAATTATCACATATGACCCTGTAGTTAAGGTTACTTATTCCATATTATTTATAAATATGACGACATGAATAAATCATGCGATCACTGTTCAATAGTTCACTGGATATGCGTGTTGAATGATTTTTTTTCTGGAGAGAGAGAGGGGGGGTGTTGTTGCTACTCAAAAACATAACCAATAAAGTACTCGTAAAAAGATTTTTTTGATTTTCAATAATTTTGTTTCTCAGATTTGGTTATTATTATTATTATCAGTTAGCAACAAAAACAAGATCTCATTATCAATCATGAGTGATTGCATAACATTTGCCAAGATTTGGATTATTATTATTATTTTATATATATCTAATAATTTATTTATATTATTAGCAATGAAATTAGAATATCGTATACAAAATGGTTATCCAGTAAATCTTGGTGAATTTCCAATGATTGTATTATTACTTGGTAATACACATTTATGTACTGGAACAATTATAGCACCTGATAAAATTTTAACAGCTGGACATTGTGCATGTGGTGATCCAACATATGAAGTAGGTAGGCAAGAATAAATTTTTATTTTTTGTTTATTTTTTATATTATGATAAATGAATGATAGTTAACAAGGTATAGGGTGAAATATCATCTTAAAGATTAAAATATTTAACTTCTAACAAATAGATAAGAGTATAAATAGAGATGGATAGTGGCTAGAAATGGAATCCGAGGACGCGCATTTCGTCCTATTTGGAGCTCGTCAGCTAGATGTACCTGTGCTCTAGAGTTGATATTCACTCTGAGACTCGAACTCAGTACCGTTCGCTATCAACACCATTACATTAACTGTTGAGTAAACATCAACTCTGGGATGCAGATACATCTAGCTGTTGAGTCCTAAATAGGACGAAACGTGCTTTCTAGATTTCACAACTAGCCATCACATATCTTTGCTTAGAATACTTGTGACTTAATGACAATATTGAGGCAATCCATTCAGGATGTACATACTCAAAAAAGACTGATCAATTGTAGTTCTGAGCATTAATGGGAAGATTCTAGAAACCAATACAAATGGATTATAGATCATGAATACTTGTTCGTCAGTAATGACAATCAAATAGATTATATTAGTTTATAAGTTTCAACTACCTCTTCTTCTAGATTTAGATATGTACATTCTCCATACCATATAACTGCAAAGTTGGTGGTCTGTACCTTGGAGACCCTACACAAACTATCTATCAAAAGAAGTGGTAGATTCTCCGATGTTTTATCTAGGGTCATCCCGATTGCTATGTTTGCGTATTGTTGCTGTTATTATACTTGTTTGGTCTGTGATCTTACTGCTTATACTTAGCAATCAGGAATCACTGCAGTTCCTTGATCCTACTACTCATACTTTAAAGCGGGAACCACTTCAGTGAGAAAACGAAGGACTGGTGTGATGAAGATTTCTTGGCTCTCCAATCTCACGTCATCATTAAGTCAAAATAAAAATTTTTACACACGCTTTATAATAACATATATAGAAGAAGATACATTGGTTTATTGTAAAAAACAAACTGAATATAGTTCTCCCTAATCGTTGCAGGGAATACAATTATCACACTGAACGTACGTTCAGATGTGTCATATTTAACAAAGTTTTTTTCACTGAACTGACACAATAAAAGGCTGACTTCACAACGTAACACTGATCGAAGTTTACACTTGTTACCCAGACCGAATTTCATCATGAATTAATGTAAAAAAAATATAGACATAAATAGTGTAATCTTATTATCCCGTCATATAAAGAAGTCTCACATCTCATTTCCAAGATAGTAGACATACATATAAGCAATATATATATATATATATATATATATATATATATACTTACGCCTTTTACCCCTCGTCGAGGAGCATAGGCCCCTCACCAGCATTCTCCATCCAACTCTGTCCTGGGCATATTTGACTGGTCTCCCCTGTCTCCCACATTGTCCGAACGTTCCATATACCTATAAAGAGTGTTGCTTTGGTTGTTAGAAGGTGCATCGGCTTCGTGACATCCAAAAAATTTCGGCTTTCATCATGAGGCGTCATAATTATTCCTTCAACTACCAGGACTGAGTTTAAATGGTTTGAATTATTTTTTCTGGTTAGCGTTTTTTAGCGAGTTTGATTCTCTTCGGGATGGGGTCGCTAACCACATGCCCGACCCTCCTCCTTTACCCGGGCTTGGGACCGGCAGTAACTCTAGAGGAGCTACAGGTGGACATCTAGAGAAACTATATATATATATATATATATATATATATATATATATATATAGTTTCTGTAGATGTCCCCTTTTAATTTACCAATCCATCGTTAATTCAGATAACTGGACTAGTATGTCGAAAAGTATCAGAGAAACAAATCATTTTTCGAATTCTCAAAGATCCTGAAGTATTACTTTCAAAACTCTTACAACGAAAGATCATTCTAACCTAAATAAAATATATTATCAAAAAACTGATAGACAATAGGTCTTTGAAAGTGGTTATAAAATGCTAAACAGAATTGAAGATAACCTAATCATTAGAAGTATGTAAATAAAAGGTTTATTTAGTGTTTATACACACGTTTCTCCAGTCTCTTCCTTATTCATCATAAAAAACCCCGATTATATGTCATATAAGCAAAGAAAGATATACTCAAACGATATCACTAATTAGCACTAGAATTTAAACATAATACGTTGAGTAAATCTGGTTACTCACAAGGTTTTCTGAAGAAGTATATGTATACAATGAACAGTAAGTTAGAGATACAGAGGTGAGTACTCAACGGTGATACAACTAACGATCTTCTTTATGATAGACTAGTTAGAGCAGTAAAGTGAACGTTTTATGTGATTTGCTTATGTTTCTCATTTTCTAACCAACCAACAGTGGTTGTTGAACTAAAGGATAAGTTATTCAATGAATCCACTTCTCTGTAAATTTGTTAGTTCAGCTGATCTAGAAGAGAAAGCTATATAGGACTTACTATCAAACAACTTTTCACATTTTCTCAATAGTAGCCATGCGGTAGACAGATTTATAGCGTTCGTTATGATGTATCAAATATCTTCAATTTACCATATTGAGAATTGATCTCGTCTCTTTCATAAAAGGAAGCTGAAAGTATTCCACAGACCAACTTCAGTCCATGTATTCAAAAGAAGTTTGTAATGCTATTGCCTCTAATTTCACAGTCTTAGTAATTCTTTCTACCTTTTGTTCATCTTTCTTCATTACTTATCCATCTTTTTATTAATTATATATTGAAACGGATTCTTTACACTCTTATTACGTAATTTTTATTGATTCTTATATTTTAATAAGTTTATTGATTTTTGATTTTTGATTTTTATAAGTAGTAATCCGCCAATCATCTCACGATCAATGTGTACATTTTGCTTGTTTATAATAAGTTATGTAATCACAAATTCCCTTGACTAGTCAAATGCTTTCGCATATATATAGACATAACTTTGTATATTGGAGTAAAACCTAATGAAGGTCTAATTGAAAGTAATGGTAGAAATTACTCAAACTAACAAACTAACAGAAATTACTCAAACCAACATCTCTGCTTACCATGCTTGTGAATTAAGGCTATATTGAGGCAATACGCACAGTATGTACATATGCCAATTAGAGACTGACCAGTTGCAGTCCTAACAAATCGATGGGAAGATTCAAACAAACAATACTGAATGAATCCAACAATGACTAGTTTGGAACTTCTCTGAAAATTACAAAAACAATAACAACCATGCACAGAATGAGTCGTCAAAGAAAGAATTTCTGAGAGTCTTGGTAAAAAAAACCCTGACTTATGAAGTGAATAATGTCGTGCATGAGACAGATATCTCAGATAATATTGAATGATGACTGCTTTATATCGCAAGTTGAAATAATGGACTATTGGATCCTAACTCAGTTGTTCAATAATATCTTGATTACTGGAAGATTTAAAGATTCTCAATTTAATTGTACACGAGTTATTTGTATGTGTATACTAAGGAGGAATCCTAAACTAGGTCAAACAATTTATTTATTGTATGCTTCGGAGAGTTCATTGGTTAGACCATCAATTTCATTTCAGAGACAAAAAATCGTGTTTATATCTACTGTTTAAAGTAAATAACAACCTATTAGCATGAAATAATTCATTTATCTAGAAACTTAAATAGTAATTTGTAGAGTTGTTTTATTGTTCTTACAGCTTTACTATGATTGTAACTGTTATGTCGAGCGGCTCGCCTATTAGAGAGGAGTGAATTATTGATCAGAGCAATGACACACAAAAGCCGTATGAGCAGTCTTGAGTACTTATCAGTCCTGCTTTCTGCCTAGCTCACATAGTTAATTCCAGAACACCAATAACAGCCTCTGCAATATCAATCATTATTCTCAAACATACTGCGTTTATATACCAATCAAACTGACCACATCGTACCAATAAAATAGAAAATAACATTTGTACAAGATTTAGCCAAATGTGGCTGTGAATAGGGGGAACAGTAATCAATAGACTGGGGATAACTCAGGAATGGTAAATGTTACTATAATAGTCTATGGGTCAAAATAAAGCTTATAATAAGAGGGACACGAATATGGATACTTTAGTTACTTAACAATTATTCAGTAGGGAATATACATATCATATTGGTCCATAAACAGTCCTCAAAAGTTACCATTCACAATGCTCTTCGGGATATAACAGTAACATATTTCAGTTATGTCTCATGTTTCTATTCAAAACAAATCCATAACGATAGAAAAAGTTTTATGCATTGAGTTTTAATAATACTGTACTGTCTTAACTAAGTACATTGTGTTTAATAAGTTTATGTGTCAATATTAGATAACGGTATCTTGATGGCCTACTTGAATATCTGGGCTACCTGTTCCTCACATTTAGATATTTCAACAAGCTATCTGTTTTTATTTGTTTTAACACATCATTATGTCTATCAATCCCACAATCCATCTAAGTGCGTTTATGAAAAGTTTACGACTTTTTGCTGTACAAGTTACAAAAAAAGTGCAATCAGCGACATTGTGATTGCTGGTAATATGCAATGAAAAGAATGAAAATTATTCAGATGTCGATTTCTGAACTGTCAACATCTTACTGGCCACCAGTCAATATTTATCGTCAGGATCGATGAAGAAGTAAGAAAAGAAAAGTTGTGGAAATACTCTGTGGTGAGAATTCCATAATGTACCAAAAACATAATATTCAATGAAGCCATTAATAATAATAATGTGGTTTTTATGATAATCTCCCAACAATTAACTCAAAAAACTGACCCTATGACTTCGAAATTTTTTTCAAGTATTCTTTCTTATGAACCACTGTGGTATCCATTTCTCTGAGAACCATGTATTTAACTTGGTGAATTATCATGGTTGAAATCATGAGTCAATTGAAGCTAGACTGCCAAGGAAAACTTGGAAGCAATGGATGACTGTTTAATCCTGTTGTGTGACTCCTCCTTGACAGTGCGCATCCACGATCCCTCCCTCGCAAGATTCGAACCCAGGACCTACCACAATAAGACGAAACGGCCGTCCACTGATTCCATGTATTTCTTCGTGGTCTAGCTTCAATTGACTCATGATTTCAACTATGAAAATACTGAAATCTCCACAAAACCCCTTCTGATTGATGAATTGTCATAATTTTCTAAAATGATTGATTTATTCAACTCCATTATTCATAACTGATAATCAATGATCGATTAATTTTAGCTTTTTTATTCTACTCTTCATGTCCCCGTCTTTTCAATTCAACACCTCTACATCACTTTAGTCGATTTCATGATTATAGTTGGGCTCAATCTAAAATATGTCGAATAATATTAAATATTTGAAGCAATTTTAATTTTCACAGTTGAATTCACGAGTCAATCTAAGCTAGACCACCATTAAAAAGATGAAAGTATCGGACGGCCGTTTCGTCCTAGTATGGAACTCCTCAGCAGTACACAACAACAACCCTGCGCGCAGGATTCGAACCCAGGACCTTCGATCTCACGTGCGAACTCTTGACCTCTAGATCACACTGAGCAGGCATCCAGAGGTGTTATTGTCTAACTTCAGTCGATCCATTATCTTGTGTAACCCTTCATCCGTTGTCTGAGGTAGAGAAATGTGTCATATCCGACGCGGATCGGACTCTACTAGTCACGACTTCTCACTAGAACTCCAAGAAATCCATTTTGAATTGTAATCCCTTAGTAGCAGATAAACATAATTTCTAGAGTTTTTACTTGATGACAAATTGGTTTCTCATAGATGTGTTCATTATACTCAATCACTATTTATTTAAATTCACTTAGTATTGTTTGATTGTATCTCCCCAATGATATTTATGACTGTAACTGGTCAATATCTTATTGGCATATGTGCATACTGTGCGTATTGCCTCGATATTACCTAAATTCACAAGCATTGTAAGCAAATATGGATAGTGGCTAGCAGTGAAATCCAGGACGCCCGTTTCGTCCTATTTGGTACTCGTCAGCTGGACCTACCTGCATCTCAGAGCTGATGTCCACTCTGGGACCAGAAACCAGTACCGTTCGCTCCAAACGCCCTCGCATTATTCAATTAGCAGATCAACTGCAGTCCTAAACATCAATGAATTTAAACTTCACCTCATTGCACAAGCAAGTGACTATCAGGACTTAGTAGCTGAGTGGATAACGCGATGGTGTTTGAAGCGAAAGGTACTAGGTTCGATTCCTAGAGTGAACATCAACTCTGGAATGTGGCAGGTAAATCCAGATGACGAGTCTCAAATAGGATCAAGTGGCGCGTGTCAAACTGGATTCCACTGCTAGCTACTATCCGTCTTTGCTTATGACACTATTTATGTAGTTGTAAAATACTAGTTAGTAAAAAGATCAGGTTAAAAATTATAGGCTTTCCGTTTAACATTCAAGACATATTTATAATCCATTATTCGGAGACTATAAACGAACTGATTTAAAACCAGTCACTATGGTAAATTTAAAAACAAAATCAAATGTATATAGCTTAACTAAACTATAGCACATCTCGTACAATTAATTTTGTGGAGCTCTTTTATTAACTTATTTAACAGACAGTGTTATTAGAACAGTAACAATTTGTCTATTTCTTTGTATTATTATTATATCATCACTATCTTGTCTGTATGATCATATATGCTTGGTCACATGTGACAGCCTACTCATATATCTCTCTCTAGCTTATATTTTAGTTCCTTAATTATTGTTCAGTGAATCATTCGCTTTTCCATATACATATGCATGAACCTAATTATTGCTTTGCTTCGATTCAATTCGATTTGACTCTTAATCCGCCTGTGTACACACTTGCTCGAGCGCATTAGCCTTTCTGTTCGAATTCGCTTTATGTGTTTGGAACTTTATTATCTTGTGCTATCCAATAATGAACTGTAGTTTTTGCTTCATATTGCCTTCTAAATCCATACACTGTTCGGGTTTATTTTAATAACGGTTATCAAAGTGATTGACAAACGAAGCCTAAGGAATTACCCAGAAGCCAAGTCACTACAAAACTAAAATGATAAATTCCACTTCTTTTCTCAAACTCTTCACTTAGTTATTATTATTATTATTATTATTATTATTATTTTACTGAGATGATGAACCGATTGATGTTAGACCATCACTGAAAACCTGGAAGCACTGGAGGGCCATTTCGTCCTATTGTGGGACTTAGCAGTGCGTATCCACGATCCCGCTCGCGGAATTCATAATCTCAATCAAAAACATAATAATTTCCGAAACCCTATACTGATAATTATCATGTGCTCACTAGTGACTAGCTTTGTGAGAGAATTCTCGAAGTTCTAGTGAGAAACCGTGACCAATGGAGCTAATCCGTGTCAGGTGAAGACAGGTATCTAACTCAGTACAATAGAAGATGGTCGCGCAATTTCGTGGATTGGTTGAGGTCAAACATTAATAATGTTGGATACCAGCTCAGTAGTCTAGAGGTTAAGCATCCGTATGCGAGATCGAAGGTCCTGGTCTCAAATCGCGCGAGAGATATCGTGGATCCGCACTGTTCAGGAGTCTCACAATAGAACGAAACAGCCATCTAATGCTTCCAGGTTTTCACTGATGATCTAACATCAATCACTTCATGATCTCAATCAAAAACATAATAATCTCCACAACCCTATACTGATAATGATTACTTTTTACTCACTTTCCTATAAGTTAATAAATATTAAGAGGGGGTTTTGTTGAGATTTCAGTATATTCATAAATGAAATCATGAGTCAATTGAAGCTAGACCACCATGGAAAACCTGGAAGCAGTGGACGGCCGTTTCATCCTATTATGGGACTCCTCCTTGATAGTACGCATCCACGATCCCGCCTCTCGTGATCCAAACCCACGACCTACCAGTAAATACTGTTTAAAATGAAAGATTGATTACACAATATTGAAATATATTATTTTCATTAAATAAAAAAATTTTTTTTTGTATTTCTTTTAGGTTTATGCCAATTTAACCCATATTACTGAACGATTTTCACCTCATACACAACATCGTTTCGGTACACATTTTATTTATCCTACAACCTATAAAAATCAATGTCATCAACTTAATAATGGATCAATTAGTAACCATGATAAATTAGGTGGTTCACCTGATATATCAATTTTAATGTTAAATCAAAAATTTCATCTTTCAAAAGGATGGATAGAAATTGGTTTATTAAATTTTAATTATTCTATAAATGATACACAAGAAAAAGAAAAAAAGAAAAAAGATTTTTTTGTATTAGGTTTTGGTGAAGATAAATCAATTGAAAATTCAATGGGTCAATTACGTTTAGGTAAGTAAATTTTTATATTTACGTAGGATCAAGCACATATATGCATCGATCCAAGTTGTCATACCTCACTTATTAGCACAACAAGATCAATATCGGATTCATAGAAGTAGTTAATTTAGTGGTGATAGTATATATATATATATATATATATATATATATATATATATATATATATATATATATATATATATATATATATATATATAGGTTGTATATAAGGATATTGTTATAACGTGTGAGTGCGTACGTGCCCTGTTAATAATATGAACGTTATAAGACCACCGATCAGAGAGCCGCGAATTATTGATTGGGACAGTGACATACGAAAAACCATACGAGCAGTCTAGACTGTGTATCGGCCCTGCTATCTGCCTAGTTCAGCCAGTTAAGTTCAAAACACCAATAACAACCTCTGCAATATCAATCATTATTATCAAATATACTGAGTTTATATACCAAACAAACAGACTACATCGTACAATGAAATAGAAAATAACATTTGTACAAAATTTGGCCAAATGTGGCTGTGAATAGGGGGAATAGTAATCAATAGACTGGGAATAACTAAGGAATGGCAAATCGTATTATAATAGTTCATGGGTCAAAATAAAGCCCATAATAAAAGGGACATGAATATGAATAGTTTAGTTACTCAACAACTATACAATAAGAAATATACATATCATATTGGTCCATAGATAGTTCTCAAAGTTACCATTCATAATTCTCCACGGGATACAACATATATAATACAGGAAGAAAGACAGATATGAAGCAATTTTAATCTCATGGTTTAAAGGAAGATAAAGAGTGTATACACGTGGGCTATTGGGATCGATTCTGAGCCCTGTCAACCAGAGAGACTCCAACTATTGGTTACGACAGTCACGTGGACCTCAAGAAAGTAGTCTTCATCTACCAACATGGCTCGGATTAGAAGTTAGTGACTTCGAGAACTGATGCCACGTTTTCGTTTAACCACCCCTAACTCTCTTCCAACCATCCCTCATACTAGTCAACATAGCGCGTCTAATATACAGTAATATTTATATGCATATACGAAATTATTAAACCAAATGAAGGCAGTTTATGAGTCAATGATAACAGTGGAATAGATTACAAATTGTCAGTGCAATGACAGGTGTACTAGCTGTGATAAGAATAATAATAGGAATTAGGTCAATGATTAGAAAAATATAGACACTGAAATAACATTCATAAAAATTATAAGATCACGTATTTAGAAGTGTCCAGATGATTGGACCGTGTAACGTATATTTGAGAAAAAAGAAAATGGTTGGAGAAGGTAAAGAAAATAGTATGGAAAATAATAATAAATGAAGCCCCTTATTAGAACCAAGGTGTTACAAATGTCTAATGAACACAAAGACTTGGAGTTTTGGCTTGAACTCCTATAGCTTCTGCTATATGTAAGAGACGAGATGGACCTAGATAAAGAAAACTAGTAGGAATACGATAAATAACAGTAAATGACTTATTTCTGTCAACTATATGACTGCTATCGATCAAATGTGAAAGAATCGAGCTCCGTATTGCCTTGACAGTACCTTTTCTTAACCACTAAAGGAGGTGTTCACTAACTCTTTGGTTTAGTTGTCTGGTAGTGCTCCAAATATAGCTTTCTTCACAGAACCAGCTGAATTCGTAGATACCCATATAAGAGTGGCATAACCAGGTAACTTATCCTTTAGTTGAGGAATCACCATAGATCGGGTCGATTACGATAGACAGAGGTCAGCTGCATTTAAACGTTCTCTTTACTGCTCTAGTCAATCGTATATGCATATAAATATTACTGTATATTAGAGTAGGGCCGGATGAGGATCTAATAGAAAACAATATTGTTCACTTATTTATGATGTTCTAAGAAAATACTTCTCTCTGTCTTTCTCATATACATACATATTTATGTGTTTAATTATAATTATAGGTATAATAAAATTGGATGAATGTCCAAAAAATATTAAAATACCAACTGATGGAGCACTTTGTTCTAATATTAATGGTAATCATCAAGGACCAGATGTTGGAGATAGTGGAGGTCCTATTTTTGATATAAATGGACGTGTTGTTGGTATTACATCAATAGCTGGAAATGGTTGGTATGTATTTTCAAGTGTTACTACACACAGAACGTTTATTCAACAACAGTTATATAATGATACTATTAATTTGACTGGTGGTAATACTACTACTACTACTACTACTACTACTACTACTACTACTAATAATAATAATAATAATAATAATAATAATAATAATAATAATAATAATAATAATAATATGGATACAATGAATAATTCCAATTCAACAGATATTTCTTAATTTTATTATCCTTCTAAAGTGTTGACATTTTCTTTTATTAAAAAGATATTTTCGATTATGTGAAGTAGGTAAATAATTCACTATGATATAAATACAATACTTACTTATTTACTTATGCCTGTTAACCCTCGTAGAGGAGCATAGGCCGCCCACCAGGATTTCTCATCGAACTCTGTCCTTGGTATTCCTTTCCACTTCTTTCCAGTCGCTATTCATTCTCTTGACGTCTAATTTCATTTTTCTGTTCAATGTGTTCCTTTGTTTTCCTCTTTTTTCCCCTTAAGGATTCTGAGTTAGAGGTTACCTAGTGATACAGTTTGGTGATTTCCACAATATATGGGCTATACACCTGAAAGGTCTTTTCTTAATCCCCTCGCCAGCTGAGAGCTTCTATTATTTTCATTTTAATATCTATTTGTTAATCCTTCACTATTAAGGTTTAAACAATGAGAGCATCGGAATTTCGAGAACTTGAGGTTTTTTATGGGCTGAATTCGTTACAGGTCTATTATAGGTGGGGTACTACATAGCCTTTTTGTTCTTGTGTGGGATTCCTCGGCAGTGAGCACACAATAGCCTGTCACTGCAGATCGAAAATAGGAAATTGAATTCTTGAGGTGAGTCCTTAACCTCTAGAATCCTGAAAAGTCTCATATTAAGACAAAACAAATGTCCAGTACTGATGGTTTTCAAGTGGTCGAACGCTTCGGATTCAATGGGGCTGGTCTATTCAGCAGTTCCTCGAAATATTCTACCCATCTGTTCTTGAACCTCCGTGATTTCCTTTCCTTTCTTGTCCTTGACTGGTCTCTCTGGTTTACTATATTTCCCTGCTAGTTTCTTCGTTGTATCATATAGTTGTTTCATATTTCCTTCTCTTGAAGCTTTTTCCACCGTCGTTGCTAGTTCTTCCATGTATTTCTGCTTGTTGACTTTAATGCTCTTCTTCACTTGCTTGTTTGCTTCTGCGTACTCTGCTTGTGTATTGACTTTCTCTGCTCACGTTCGACTGTTTTTAATTGCTGTCTTCTTGTTCCTCCTTTCTCCAATCTTCTACTGAGTCCTTATAGAGATCCATTCCTTGTGATGATGCTTGTTGCGGTCCAGCACCTCCTGACACTTTGAAGTTAACATTCCTTTGATCCCTTTCCAGTTATCCTCCATGGTAGTTTCTTGTTCTTTCAGTATATCCTGTAGAGCTTGTAACCTGTTGTTGAGAGTTATCTTGAATTGGTTGAGTTTGTTAGTATCTGGAGGGAAAGCTGTATTGAACCTTTGTAATTCTGTTTGTCCAATGATCCAGTGTTTCTTTAGTTTCAGTTCCATCTTGGCCACGACCAAGCGGTGATCTGAAGTATGTCAGCTCCTCTCCTATTTCTCACATTTTCCATTGTCCTTTAGAATTTTTTATTGATAGAAATATGATCTATTTGGTTCTCTGTGGAGTGGTCCAGTGAGATCCATATAGGTTTGTGTATGCGTTTGTGGTGGAAACATTGTACCGCCTATAACCATTTTGTTGAATGCACATAAATTTGTAAATCTCTCACCATTCTTGTTCCTTTCTCCCAGTCCGCTTCATCTCATGACTTCTTCATATCCGGTGTTGTCCATTCCGACTTTGGTGTATAGGTCTCTCATCAGTATTATCAGGTCCTTTTATGGGCATTTCTCTATGATTGATTGCAGCCTGTCATAAAACTGATGTTTATCGTCTTCATTGCTATCATTGGTGGGTGCATAACACTGGATAGCATTCGTTGTGATCACTTCTTTGTTTTAAAGGATGGTTTGATGATCCTGGGTCCATGGGAATCTCATCCCATAAGTGCATTTCTCGCTTCTCTGGACAGCATTATAGCAACTCCCTGAGTGTGTGGGGCATTATCCTCTTCGTGACTAGAGTATAGCATCATCTTTACCTAATCTAAACCTTGTTGTCCAGCTTGGGTCCAATAGGTTTCACTGATTCCGAGGACCTAAAATTTGTATCTCCTTATTTCCTCAGCTATTTGATCGGTCCTTCCGGTTTCCCACATTGTTCGGACATTCCACATACCTATGTTAATTGTCGCTCTGGTTGTTAGAAGGGGTATCGGTCTTTTGACTTCCGAAAAATCTTGGCTTTCATCATGATACGTCATAATTCTTCCTTGAACTCGGAGGGCAGAGTTTAAATTGTTTAATTTGTTTATTCTGGTTAGCGTATTTTAGCAATCTTGTTTTCTACGTGATGAGGTTGCCGACCCCATACCCAACCTTCCTCCTTTGTGCAGGCTGACAGTAGTCCTAGAAGCGCTACAGGCAGAGTTATTATTGTTATTAATATTGTCATTATTTTTTTGAATAATTAATTTAGCATTGTACTATCTTTTTATTAAAGTAAAAAGAACATTTACCCTGAAAATCTCGTTATTCTGGCTTTATTTAAATTTATCAAGAGATCAGGATATTTGAAATCTAGATTTGAATGAAATAACATAACGTTAACAAATACAGTTTTAAATTTGATTGTTTACTGTTATGATCAATATTAATAAGAACCTTTTGTTCTGTAATATTATGGTGTGAGATTCTTATGTGGACAGATCTAGGTAGTATGTAACAGGAATAGGAAGTGGAATGCATAAAAGCAGAAGACTGGAACTGTCATCACTTGTGCCCTGTTAATTGTCACGTGATTTATTCGCCAATCAGAACACGACTTATATAGTCTTAACACTATGCCAAACTAATGGTATGTTGATCGGTGGGAGTAGCCTAGAGGCCTTATTAGACCTTTTCTTTAAGCCCTTCCTGTCGAGCCCAGAACACCAAGATCAGCCTCTACCGTATGAATCATATGTTTCAGACATACTGGGTTTATATACAAGCAGACCAGACCGTATCATACCATAAAATAAAAAATAACGATTATACAAGATCAAGTCAAAAGGTGGTTGTGGATACGAGAGACTGTTACTAATAGGTTGAGAATAATCTAAGAATAGTAAATCGTATGATAATAGTCAGTAGGTCAAACAAAGCTTATAATAAAGGGTATATAAATACACGTATTGTAGTGAACGAGATAACAAGTGGGGACAATCGGATGTATTTCAATACAAACTACAGAACACCTTAGTAAAATCTGAGAACTATACAGTAAATACGTCATTTGCAAAACGTTAATCAATTGTCTCAAACTTGACTGTTCCTTTTGTAAATATCAGCCAATTCTCTCAGACTTCATTGTTCCTGCATTTTCATACTAAATGCTTTATGTCCGCGTTCTTCCCTTCTCGACCTTCCGCTGCTAGACATTCTATTCCCGACTGCTTATATTGACATAAGTAGCACACACCACAACATAATCTAGTTACTTAACAGTTATACAATAAAAAATATATATCATAACAGTTCATAAATAGTTTCTAGCAGTCATCGTTCATTTATTATTCGTTCGGATATAACAGAAACAAAGAGAACGGAAAGGAAAACGGGAGCAATCGGAGTAACAAAAGAATTGGAAGAATGGCGGAGCATGTAAAAGACAATTCGAGGAAGATGTGCAAATGACGTATTTAATGTATGATTTTCATATTTTACAGAGACGCAGTATACGTTTGCTTAGAACAATAAATTGGCTGCATGCAGCCCAGTTAATAACTCAAAAAACTATCTAGAGCCTGGTACATATATCCATCGGTTTAAATTTTCCTACCATATCAACACAGAGGAATGAAGTCATCAAGACAAATGTTATATTATATAGTTGAAATCATGAGTCAATTGAAGCTAGACCACCATGCAGAACCTGGAAGCACTGGACGGCCGTTTCGTCTTATTGTGGAACTCCTCAGCAGTGTGCATCCACGATCCCGCCTCTCAAGATTACAACCCAAGACCTATCAGTCTCGCGCCAGAGCACTTAACCGAGAGACCACTGAGCCAGCCGGCATCCAAGGTGTTAATGTCTAACTTCAACCAATCCGCGAAGTTGAGCATCCATTCACCAATTTTTTCAGTAAGTTAATATCTCCCAACAGACCTGGTTGAACTCCATTGGTCACTGCTTCTCACTAGAACTCCAGGAAATATCTCTTGAAGTCAGTCACTATTGAGCATATGATTATAATCAGAAGGGGTTTTGTGGAGATTTTAGAATAGTTAAAATCATGAGTCAATTGAAGCTAGATCACCATGGAAAACTTGGAAGCACTGAGGAGTTCCACAGTAGGACGAAACGACCGTCCAGTACTTCCAGGTTTTCGATGGTGGTCTAGCTTCAATTGACTCATGATTTCAACTATATACAATTACTAAAATCTTCATAAAACCCCCTTCTAATAAATGTTATATAACTTACTGAACATCTTTGAGTTCAAAACCTTTCTCCTTTTTAAACATTTTCAGAATAGTTCGTCTGGTGATATATCTTACCATAACTTGAATAGCATAAATCCCCATAGTTTGTGGTTACTCAGATTTGATCCTTTAAGGTTTTACAAGCGAATTATAAGCTATTTGAAGTTTAACTTGTAAATTTCTTACAAAGTGAATGTAGACTAATCACTTCAATAAATGATCTAATGAAGCCTTCTTTAGTTCTGTATGTCAATTATTAAGGATTGTTAACTTGGAGAATTATTCAAGGCACGAAACAAATCCTACAGACTTTCCACCAATGAATTGTTTGATATGAGATTTAGCTAAACAGTATAAATACTATAGAACTATCAGTAATTATCCGAAGGGTTTTTTCTGGAAACTTTAGTAATTTTATAGTTGAAATCATGAGTCAATTGAAGCTAAACTCGCTCGAGAAACTGATAGGTCCTGGGTTCGAATCTCGTGAGGTGAAATCGTGGGTGCGCACTGCTGAGGAGTCCCACAATAGGACGAAACAGCCGTCCATTGCTTTGTTGCAGCTTCAATTGACTCATGATTTCAACTATATATAAAATCTGATTAATAATTGGTGTGAATTTATACGGCGAGTAATAGCTCAATCAATCGGAATGAGATTGACCTAAGGAACTGATTTTTTTCCAATCGTGTATGACATGTATGCATCACATCTGAAGAAGGATTATAGATGCTTCATCTTATAATACTGTAAATTTACGTTCGAATAGTAAGTCATTGAATTATTCTTATTAATAAATACAACTCAATTCAATTTATACCAATCTGACTGTTAATCTAGCTGTAAAGCGGTATATTCTTAAGTTATTTCTATTGATTTTAAGAGTTAAACAAATCCTTCTGACCAATCTTTGCGTCATTTCTCTTATACTCAAGTTGCCGTGTAGATTCAGTTTGAAGTTAATTAGAAGAGGAGTTCCAGTTTGAAGACTTATCATAAACAGAATTGTTATGTAGTAGCGAAGACATAAGTACGGGTAACTAGATTATCTATATCTATATTCATCTTATTGTAAGCTTCATTTCGATCTATTGATTATTATTGTATGATTTACTGTTCCTAAGTTATGCTCAGTTTTATTGATTATTGTCTCCCACGCTTACAGCCTCATTTGGCCTGGTTTTGTACAAATATAATTTTCTATTTTATGGTGTGGTGTGGTCTGCCTGTCTGGTATATAGATAAAGTATGTTTGAAATAAACGATTCGCATTACAGCAGCTGCTATTGGTGTTTTGGACTCAAGTGGACGGGTTAGGCGGATAAGGGCCAATAAGGACGCTAGATTACTCATACTAATCGGACGTCGTTGTCACAGTGTGAAGGTCGTAGAAGTCGTATTCTATTGGTGGACAATTTACGCAAAATACGTCCTTGTTAAATTCGTAAGGTCATAACGAATCAGCGACGACCTTGATCAAGTCATAACAATGGGCTACCGCCTAGGTCAAAAACATAACAAATTGGCGACGGCTAGGTCAAGTCATAACAAGAATATATAAAAATCAATAGTTTAAGGTATCGTTTTGGATCTGTTTTCAGTGAATAATAAACTTATATATCTATCATCTTTCATACATCAAGCCATATCAGTTTCCTGTCCAATTATAAAAAAACTTTTATCTGAAAACATGAAACATGGAGAGAGACATAAGAAGAATGAACAGCGATTGGATAGAACTAGAAAGGAAGGCCCATGACAGAGTGGGTTGGAGAATACTGATCGGCGGCCTATGCTCCATTGAGAGTAACAGGTGTAAGTAAGTAACCAATCAAATTGGATTTCAATGAAGATTTGTTGTCCCTTTTTTTCTCTTCCAAATTTATAAGTTTAATCAGAACAATTCATCTGGATTGCCCATTTATTACAAACTGGTCATATTGCCACTATAAACCAAACCTTTTCAATTATTTATAGGGTCAGTATTTTTTTGCCAAAGCTTGTCAGGATTAAAGTCCTTCAAACGGCGGAGGAAGTATCCATCAGGATGAAGGAACCGGAGCTAAGCGTACAGAAGAAACATCTGGATTCAGTAATGTATTTCTTTTCTAATATCAAAACACCCATCATGTTTTTTTTCTGTATAACACCAAAAAGAACATGTCAATAAAGACAGGATTGATGATAGGCATTAAATACACTTCAAAGAACACATTCACAGTTTGACATTATGTATATATTACTGATTATCTGAATTTACAAACTAAGAAATTCAACGAATAACACACATTTTGAAAGATTTCTGTACAAAAGAAAATTGACCATAACTAAGTATTTAACAGAAAACCACGAAAAATCATAGACTTTATAAAGAACATATTATCACTAAATTATTATCATTATCAATTTTGCATTTTAAAAAAAACCTAAAAACATGAAATCAAATCTAAAAACGAGATAGATGTGATAATAAATTGTGTGCAACACAGTTATACTACGTTTTTAAGAAATAAGTAATATACATAGATAAGTAAAAGTTTTCGAGAAGTAATGAATGATATAGTGTGATATAATGTGTAGTAAATTAAAATAAAACGACTAATATTCAATACAAGAACAGTGAATTCTATGGAAAAAAATATGTGCAGTTGTTCAGACAATCTGTTGCTTTGTTATACATATACAGACAATTTGTTGTTTTATTAAAGAGAACTAATATATGGATGAATAATTATGAAAAGATAAATTTACTACTAACAAAATAGAAAACAAAATATCATATTATCATAATTTAGATATTCCAGTTTTTAATGCAGATTTCAATGGAGAATGTTGTGTAGATCCAGATATTCTATTTGCAGCGGGGGATGATACAGAATTATTAAATATTCGTGTTGGTGAACGATTAGTATTATCTATCATATATTCACCGTCTTCATCTTCTTCAGAATCATCATCATTTTCTGTGTTATCTTCTTCCTCAAAATCCTCATCATCATCATCATCTTCAAGATCTTGTAAACCATTTACAGTATTTCCATTATCTACTTTATCTCGAACATTATGGTTACTGTCAACATCATCGTCTCCTTCAGTAAATAGACTTGTTACATCATCATTCTGTTTTAGTATTTCCGTTCAGATAAATGATTGTAAACGAAAAAAGTTCGGAAACAGAACATGAAATAATAATACAATAAAAAACTGAAATGTTTTTGATCAAATATGTAAACAAAGTATATATCATGAATTCGGATGATTGATTGTGTAGAATGAAACTAGTTAGGAAAAATTAGTTGAACATCCTATCCGAAAATATTCATTTAATGCCTTCCGTTGATATCGTGGAACGTGTTTTACAATAGAATCTAAGTTTTATGCAGTTCGCTTCTCATCAAGATGATGTAATATGAGGTCTTGAGGGGACTGATGATCCTCAAGGATGTTGAACACGCATTTTCTCAGTGACAGAGTTAAAAGGGTTACCATTATTGTATTCATATAGTGATTGACTTCCTGTAGGACTGAGATGTTTTGATTACCTATTTAGCTTGCAGTAATCAAATATTATGTTTGTTCACCCCACTGAGTTGATCAATGTCTGTCACTCATGTTTCAATGTCATCACCAGTCGAATTTACTCAAAATTGAGTAAACTAAGTTTTGATGTTAGATAGAACCGGTGTAAATATCGAGAAGTGATTAAATGGAGAAAACAACTAGAAAAAAACTATTATATTTCGACAAGGCTATTGTCCATGAAACTGTTATTTCCGAATACAAATTAATCAATCGTTAATATTGACATGTTTTATAAGAAAACAAGAGCAATAATTCACTACCCTTAAGATCTTTTCAATCGTTATTCAACTGACATTAGTTATTAGATTGGTTGAAGTTAGATATTAATACCGCTAGATGACAGCTCAGTGGTCTAGAGGTTAAGCGTTCACGCGCGTGACCGATAGGTCCTGGGTTCGGATCTCGCGAGGTGGGATCGTGGACGCACACTTCTGAGGAGTGCCATACCAGGAAGAGATGGCCGTCCACTGCTTCCAGGTTTTCCATCGTGATCTAGTTTAGACTGACTCATGAATTCAACCATTAATATATTAGATTAGTGTCGAATATTATTCTTATCTCGTGAACTAAGATAAACATCTATGAAAGTTTAATTAGTCATTTCAAACGAAATGAAACTGTCAATATTCAATGGAGTTAAGTTCAATGTAATGAGTTGCATTAGTAAGAAATGAGATCCAACTTGGTCGTCAACATATAGTATTTAGTGAAGAAATCGATTGTAGAAATCAATTACTTACCTACAGTAATATAGCAACTTCATTAATAGGTTCTATTCCTGGTTGGTTTGAGCGCAGTTGTTTTTCGTCAGTTTAACATTAGAACAAAAAGCTACCTCATAATAACCAGTTTCCAACACTTTATTATTTTATTTCAACTCGTAATGAAATTCATAGTTGAACTGTTTCAATATCAATATAGGGTTGTGGAGATTGAGCAGTTTTGATTGAGATCATGAATAGGTCAATGGTAGACCACTATTAAAAACCTGGAAGCACTGTTTGACGGCTGTTTTGTCCTAGTATGGGACTTCTCAGCAATGCGCATCCGCGATCCCGCACACAAACAACCCTAATCTGTGGAACACTCAGCTGAGGAGCCCCATACTAGCACGAAACGACTGTTCAGTACTTCCTGGTTTTCAAGGGTGGTCTAACATCAAACGATTCATGATCTCAATCAGAACTGTTTAAATGTTAGTAATTCAACCTTGAAAATAATATTATGTCATAATATCCAACTGGTCGTTCACATCCTAACCAGGTCATCTACAACGACCTACATGACTAAAGCTAACAGTCAGTGATTTCCTGAACTGATAGCTATATTTCAGTTTGGCCACTCATAGCTTCCTTCAAACTTACTCCTATACGCCAGCTAATATTTCTCTTTGAAGTAGACAATGATTAAGCATGTGTAACACATGTCCTAATAATCTTAATCAATGAAACGGTTGACTGAATATTAACTTGTTGTGTAAATAATATAACATATTTATGTGTTATAATAATATATGAGTGATAAAGGTAGCTGCAACATAAAGATTTACATGATGTGATATGCCGGAATTTTGTCTTTGTTGATGTAGCTGTTGGGAGTATGACAGTTGATCGTGTTGTTGTTGTTGTTGTGTTTGACCTTGTAATTGTTGATTCTTTTTCTTATTACGACCTAATGATGTTAAACTACAACGACTACCAGTTTTCATTGAATTCATTGAACTATGTACAGATGATGACGGCCGATAAGATCGATGATCTCTTATTGATACTGGCGGAGAAATCATTGGTGACGATTGATCACCAATCGTTAAACTTTGTTGACTGATTGGAAGATTATTGTTAGTATTTAACACAGTTAAATTACTTCCAGAACGTAATAGTGTACCACGAAATTCAATTAGATCTGCTTCTTCATGTAATAACTGGATTGCATTGTAAGCTGAAGTCAGTGTTTCCAATGCTTTAGCATGCCATAACATTTCAATTTGAATAAAATCTGTTATAATTCTCTAAATAAAAAAGCGAATGCGATCAATAGTTATGAAAACAGTTCACTCTATTAATATCATGGAAAATCTTTATGTCCAAATTTGGATGAATATTCAATGTAAGGTCGTGGAAATTGCTGAATTTCGTTTAAATAACTAAATGGTCAAAGTTAGACAATTATTGAAAACCTGAAAGCACTGGACGGTCACTCTTCCTTAATGTGGGACTTCTAGGCAGTTCGTATCCATAACCTCTCAACTAGGAATCAAACCCAAAACCTTCGATCTACCATCTAAATGCCTGACCTCTAGACCTCTAGATCCATTGGTGTACAAGTCTAACTTCAATCAGTCTGCGACAGCGTGTGACATCAAATCTGACAAGGTTTAACTCCACTGGTCACAGCTTCTCACTAGAACCATGCATTATTGTTTAAGCCGTAGAATATTGACTTTATCAGGAATCGACTTAAATAAGTTGTTATTACTTGATCACTACTTCGTTTTTTGTTTAAATATACGATTTATAAAACTTGAGGATTTTGATTATTGACAAGCTTCAGCTAAACAACAATTGAAAAAAAACTGGCGAGTACTGAACAACGGTTTCATTCGAGTTTACACTTCCTTTAAAACAGTTTACACTTATGATTTGAAACTTCAAGTTATTTCAGTAAGAAATAATAGTAATAAACTAGGGGAATTCTAAATAAGTGACTGATCACCTTCAACAACAATCCAAATAGGTTTGGGTAGTGTTTCTCTTTCTTTAAATGTAAAGTGTCTGAGGGATGATCTGTGCCAACCCCTGAACTAATTATAGGTTGTGAGTAAGTTAGTTGCACCTCTTGGTTGGTGTTTGACGAAATATTGATATAAATTCAGAAAGTTAGGCTGGCTTTGGCCAATTTACATAACTTGTGGCATAGGTAAAATGTTCGTCCTCTTGCTAATCAAAGACTGAGTAGGCTGTGCATTGGTTCATTCTGTTCAATTGTATGGGTGTAAAACGTGGCCTTCATATTAAAAAAAAAATATTTGTAGATTTCTAGAATTTGATCGCATCTCTCTAACCATGGTCTATTGTAATTAACTGTTTGGTGACCAAAAGAAGGTTAGAAAAAAGCTAGAGGAGATCAAACCAAGACACTATATCAGTACATGAAGTCGCCAAATGTAGGACTAGGTTATATCGACAGTTGCAAACTACTTGGTTCGGTTTCGTACTATTAACATCACGAATGGTTGAATACGTTCATAATAATAAACAGTTTTTAATATACAATAAGTCTATCATATGAAAAAAGTTGACAATTAGCTAATGCACTTACTTTTAAACCTTTTAATCGACGACCTTCAAAATCAAGTACACAACGTTCTAAATTATTTGCACTTCTAGTAGCATCAATCATTGCATTGTGTAATTGTATTTCAGCCTTAAAATAAATAAAAAAAAATTAAAAATATTAATATGATACAATACAACCTAACCAATTTAATGTCTTAGTGATTATATTGTAGAGACTATCGAATTAAAAATTTTTACATGACATACTAACTTAAGTTAAATAATCATTAAAAACCAGGAAACAATGAAAAACTGTTTTACACAGTATGGGACTCTTCAGCATTGTGTATTCAAAACACTATGAAAGATCAAACTCAGATTCTTTAAGCTTCGAGGTGAGCATTTCGTAGACTTTAACTGTTGGACTTTAAAAAAAAATATATTACAGATGTAACTGATTATGACGACGTTCTAGATGTTAAGCTCTTACAACAAGACCTGAAGGTAGTTAGTTCGATTTTTGGTGCGATAATCGGTTAACGTTTCTGCAATATTCTTTACTAAGATGAAACGGTGCTTCTGTGTTTTTAATAAATGTCCAACCAATTTCAGTATGTGAAGTAAAACCTCAAATCCATAGTCTACTGAACTTTTTACCCCCATGACCTGTATCTTGTTTCACAACGTCACTTAATAATTAACCGAACAATGACATTATCAGCTCGAGAGTTTAGAGAATGATTAATGCCTTATAATAATAATAATAGGCGTTATCACTATTATAGGGAGTGGTCATTTTTAAGTAATATATAGTAAGAATGTTGTTTTCTGATAAACACTAGTAACGAAGTTGTAAGACTTGTGCAATAACTATGGAATTTTAGATTTATTCCACTATTAAACTTGGGTCGATTCTAAAGATGAGTTCGATTCGAAAAATGGCGTAGAATTCGTTTTTTGTATGACTCATCAGTGATTTCCAACCACGACCAAACATACATACACAAAATGACAACCGGGACTTTTAAATCTTCATAGAGGATATAATATCTTTCGATAACTATATTGGAATCCCACGATCTCATTTCCCAATTTCAAATATAGTTATTGATTTAAAAGTAGAAGACTAGTTTGGTTAATCTAGTATGTGTGTGTGTGCATGAGGATGACCACTCTTTTTTAATGTTCAGCAGAAGTGGATAGGACACACTTTAAGGAAATCACCCAACTGCGTCACAAGGCAAGCCCTCACATGGAATCCTGAAGGTCAAAGGAGAAGAAGAATACCAAAGAACACATTACGCCGAGAAATGTAGACAGATATGAGAAGAATGAACAAGCACTGGATAGAACTAGAAAGGAAGGCTTAGGACAGAGTGGGTTGGAGAATGCTGGTCGGCTGCCTATGCTCCATTAGGAGTAACAGGCGTAAGTAAATAAGTAAGTAAGAAGTGCATTATCTCGAATTTTCAAGCATTTTTTGCCGTTCATTTTAACGGTTAAATACTGTAAATAAGAGTATAATTTTCACTGGGTATTTCATTTCAATCATTTCATGTCAGAAAACATCTTAACTTGCCAGATGAAAACAACATTTAAAGTGAAAGTTAGAGCTTGAACTGAAATCCTCAGTGAAAATTAGGTTTCTTATACCCGATGTCCACTCATTAAATGAATGGAAGAAAACTACACATGTATTGACTATTGAAAGGCAGGTGCGCTACTAATTCACGGACACGTATAATATCCTTCTAGTGTATTATGCTTAAGTTGAACTTGGCATTAACACTTACAAGAGGAAGAAGAAATCGATGTACGTTTATGTTCAACCTGAAATAAGGTCTGCATTTCAATAGACAAATATACGGGCATGTTTATACTTGTAAGTAATAATGTAACAAATATATTTCAACCACCAACTTTTTGTACCGATCACACAATACATATTTTCAATCTAAGTAAAGTCAGTCTACTCCCAACTACGCAAAATTCCCGATTCTAGGCAATAATTTAGTTAGAATGAATGTTTCTTGAATAACGATTTGAAAGTTCCTAATCTGATCTATGAAAGATAATAGGTGCCAACTGCTAGAAAATCCTTAACTACGACAAAACAACCGTTCAATGCCTCCAGGTTATAATGATTCACTAACGGACATCATTTTATTGTGAAATAGTCTACAAAATTGATTTTCATATAATACTGGGTGGTTGGAGGTAGTCGATAGGATACCCTATGTGACTTAGTTATCGAGCTATTTTGTCCTTGTCAATAAAATGTACCTGTAATCTTGCTTACACTGCAGCTCCCTGACATATTCCACCACATGTCAGTCAGTATCACCATCTTAGACATTGCCTATGAGCTATCCGAGCATCGACCGAACTTTTCTAAGACTGAGACACTTGCGATTGACTAATTAATGTTATGTTTACTCAATCCCTTAAGTGCTAATCAAATTCTATCATTCAACTTCTAATGTGATCACTATTATAATTTGCTCGATATATATCATGAAGTTTGCTGAGATATGAGGTCGCCAAAGATAGTCTTACATAATCTGTATTCATTCGAAATTTAGTCAATACATTATAAATGATTATTTAAACATACAGAAAGGATAAAATTCCATCTTCTTCATACTACTAATAACTTTATAAAAGAAAACAAAACTAAAAATGTCAAACAATATTAACAACCATACAGAATGGAATATATCATTTTAGGAAAATAACAGTAGTCATCAATTTCAAACATAATAAAGGCTGAGGAGTCCCATAATAATACGAAACGGCCGTCCAGTGCTTTCAGGTTTTCCATGGTGGTCTAGCTTCAATTGACTCATTATCTCAACTCTATAAAATAATGAAGGCTCATAAAAATTAAAATGAATCGTTAAAATCAAAATATGATTCTATGGTGTAATTGAACAAACTATTGTTATCTTCTAAAAACAAAACATTGAAACATTATAAGCAAAGATTGATAGTGACTAACAGTGGAATCCGAGACGCATGTTTCGTCCTATTTGGGACTCGTCAGCTGGATGTACCTGAATCTCAGAAACCGATCAATTTCAGTCTTAAACATCAATGGAAAGATTCAAGTAAACAATAACAAATGAATTTAAACTTCACACCATTGCACAAGTAAGTGGCTATCATGACTCAGTAGCTAAGTGAAAAGTGCGATGACGTTTGAAGTAAATAATACTGGGTTAAAGTCCTAGAATGAACATCAACTCTAGGATGTGGCAGGTATATCCAGCTGACGAGTTCCGAATGGAACGAAACATGCGTTCTGAATTCCATCTCTAGCCACTATCCATCTTTGCTTACAATGCTTGTAAATTAAGGAAATATCGAGGTAATCGTCACAGTATGCACATATGGCCAATAAGAGATTGATCAATTGCAGTCCTAAACATCAATGGGAAGATTCAAACAAACAATACCAAGTAGATTCAAACATTGAAACCTTTTGTGTGATTTCAAACAATAAAATATATTACATGTGAATCAGATTAATTATTTAAAATACAGGATATTCAATTAAAATGATAGACGTTCTTTGAGAATCTCAAAGTGTGTATGTGTGTCTGTGTGCGCAAATCAAAATAGTTTATACTGAATTTCATAGTGAACAATAAATAAAACAGACTGTTTTTTTTTCTTTTATGGAAAGTAAATTTTAGAAATGTAAAAATAGAGATTTCAAAATTAATCAAAAATGAGATTTGCCTTTTCATTAATACAAATTTGTAGATTAACTTATACCAATTAAATATTGGAAATTAAGAAACATTGGATAACTGTTACAAAATAGTGAACACTCATGAGCTCATGTAGGATAAAGTCTACAATACCTAGGACTTGCCGATGAATATACTACCTATAAACTAACATTCTAAAATTCATTGGTCTGTATGTTATAACTGATAGTTGCCAATGTTATATACACTTCACCTGTTACTTATACTTGAAAATGAAGAACCCTTACAATTCCTACGATGTGAAATAAGAGCACAAAAGAAGATTTATTGATTACAAAATATGTGACAACTCCAGTCGAAATTACACTCATTTATATATTAATTTTTACATTCATTTGATTATTCATTCGAAAAATATCTCAATTATATAAGTCATGCTGAACATACTTTACGTTAATCTTAAACCAAGATTATCATATCTTGGATAAATATCAAACTGAAGTAAATCAACTTTGTACTGAATAGAATGTTACTTTAAGAAACAAAACAAATACTACACTGGGTAAACATCGTACTGAATAAAAAACAAACAAACAAAAGTGTTGTTGAATAAAAAGTTTAAAAACGTAATTTTGTCTTTTTATCCCATTATATTCACTATATTTTCTAACCTCAGTTAATACCCTTCAATGTTGTCTATCTTACTCCTCATAATGCTTAAATCTATGAATCATGATTTCTTCCAAATGTATCTTCTCAAGGTTAATCACTTATAAACATATCACGAATTTTATACAGTTGATCATATGCTCACTAGTGACTGACTTCAAGATACATGTCCTGGAGTTCTAGTGAGAAGCATTAACCAGTGAAGTTCAACTAGGTCTATTGGGAGATATCAATTCACTGAAGACATTAGTGAATGGTTGCTCAACTTCATGGATTGTTTTAAGTTAGACATTAACACCATCGGATGCCGGCTCAGTGGACTAGTGGTTAAGCGCTCGAGCGCGAGACTGATAATTCCTGTGTTGGAATCTAGCGAAGTGAGATCGTGGATGCGCACTGTCAAGGAAGAGCCCTACAATAGGACGAAATGGCCGTCCAGTGCTTCCAGGTTTTCCACGGCGGTCTAGCTTCAATTGACTCATGATCTCAACTATATAAAACTGCGAAAATCTCTACAAAACCCCCTTCTGATATCACGAATTGTTTGGAATTAAAAATATAAACTATTGGTTACTGTAATATATTTAGATGAAACTGTACTGTCAAGGTTGTAATTTAAGTGAAGTACTGATTTCTGTTATTGATGAGGCTGTTTGCTATAAACAGCCCAGTTGTCTGGAGATGACATGTTATCTAAGAGGCTTGTAAGTAATTAGTTAAATTGTTAATGAGCTAATCAGTCACAATTGTCCCGTGTTTATTTGAC